TAAAAATAGGCATACAATAATTTCTTTTAATCAATTTCCTTAGGAACCTAACCTAATGACTGTTCTAGCTGGCCTTTTCCCGCCATATTTATTCCTACTCGATCTTTTTTGTTGTTGTTGTTACTTGAGTGCATCATAATCCTATAATCTTTCGGCTAACATCCCTAAACCTGATTTCCGACATTTTAATCTGCTTCTACTTTCACTTTCACTTTCACTTTCGCGTATTTAACGTCAAAGTGTTTCCTTGACAGTGACATTATCCACACTTTACACCCAGTATTCTTTTCCATTTTCAGCTTGTTCTTCTTTTGCAACTTTCTTCTTATTCCAAAGGCCTTTTTAAAACCGGCTTCGTTCGATATTTCTTCTTTTATTGCTTCCTCTGCCCACGTTTGTCATTTCAGACATCCATTCTCGTTTACGGCCCGAAACATTAAAAAAGAAAAGAGAAACAAGGGATTTTGCTGAATCAAGTGATCAAGGCGATCGGGGTTACAAGATGCAAGTTGATCCCGGCTGTGATCCCTGGGGCGCCTTGATCCGAGCTCAATGGCCTGATCCCGGCGCCATTACGTCAAAACCGGGTGATTTGATGGAACGATTAACACCTTGAACTTTGGTTGTGAGATCAAATTTCTTGCTAAACGGTGGATGACAATTTGATGGCGGAGACATGCTTAATTGGTCAAGATTTAAAGCCTAATGTGTGAATCGAGTGTGTATGGAGCCGTGTGATCTGCATTTAAGCCAAAAAGTGAATGTATCCATGTGTGCACACGTGTCTACGGGCGCTTTAGAGATCAGCTTTCTGTCCCTATATTTGCGTATCTGTATGTGTGTAGAATAAAAACAAACAAAAAAATCACCTACACAGCTTTTTGTTTTATGAAATTTTATGTTTCAGTCAATTGAGACATCTTGTTAGAAATCATTTGAAAGTTCTATGTTACAAGGTGCCGAAAACAAAAAGGACATTTTCTAAATAATCGTTCTATGGTAAATCGACACGTATTTAGTCTAGAAATATTTTAGATACTAAAGTTCACGAAAGAAATGGCACTCAAGGTAGAAGATTGCGGATAAAATGGTTATGATGAATGAGGTGAGTGGTGGGAATTGAACATTTTCAGGATAAGGAGGTTAGATAAAGCTTGAGAATGATTTGATATATATATATATATATATATATATATATATATATATTTATATGAACAAATATATTTATATATATATATATATATATATCGAGAGAGAGAGAGAGAGAGAGAGAGAGAGAGAGAGAGAGAGATTAAGAGAAAGAGAGACTTTTTCTCATTAACGGACTCCTGAGTCACGTAAATTCGCTAGTTTTCTCTTTGCTATAATAAATCGTATGAAATTGTCTGAATATATATATATATATATATATATATATATATATATATATATATATATATATATATATATATATATCTAATCATATATATATATATATATATAACAAAAACATTTTCAAACGAGAAAAAATTTCTGAATGAGAGATCAGAAATAATGAGACGATGCTTACACAGATAAAATTCCTTCTGAGTTCGTTTAAACCATGACGAAAGTATGTTTCATGCAACCGCACCCCGATACAATTTCAATACCCTTGCTTTTCTCTTCTATTACGCTTCGCGATGTTCATTCATTTATTTTTAAAGAATAAAGCGTTAGGAAATTATACAGCCTGCATCGCCTAAAGGTACCGAAAGGTTGAAACCAAGGTAGCGTGATCAGCTGATCTAATTTAAAAAAATTTTTAAAGGTCTGCACGTTAAATTTTTATTTTATTCATTTATACATGAATTGAGCACTTTTAATACTACTGTTTCCTGGTCTAATTCAACTCTGACCAATAACTTTTTTTATAATCATATATATATATATATATATATATATATATATATATATATATATATATATATAATTTTTATGATATATATTCATAGGATTTGCATATTTATGTTTTATTTAAATTTATATATATATATATAATATATATATATATATATATATATATATATATGATTTATTCAGACCATTTAATCAAACATTGAGAAATAGTGTTTACACGATTCTGGAATTGGTTAATGATAAAAATAATTGAGTGATTTATTGAAATCGAGGAGTATAAGCAGCCAATTTTTGGTACAACCTGTCGAGTGGACGGAGAGATCCCCACATGGTTTGTCTGGAGTCGAAGATGCTGAAGGTAACATCAATCAGTTAAGTGACAAACCTTTTAATTGTATTAATTCTCTCTCGCTATATATATATATATATATATATATATATATTATTATCTATATATATTAAGAATATCTAATATATAATTAAATAGGTTTTGTGTATTTATTTTAATAGGAACCTCTCATAAATACGGAAAACCTGAGTAACCTTATTAAAGGAAGAAAGAAAAATTAATTTTATTACGACTACTTTCAACATTAGCACAATGTCGTCAACAGGCTCTAGTTTTTTCTAAGACAAAAAATTATTGTTCATCATTTTTCTAAGACAAAATTGTGTTCATAAATGTCTGTTGTCAGACCCGATGTGTTTATACCGATTCAGCCACAATGGACAGTGTCCCATATATATATATATATATATATATATATGATAAAAAGTATAGTTTCAAGGTATATTATATCTATGGGTAAAATTTCTCAAGATTAGTAAAGGGTATGTAAATATAAAATATTAAAGAAGACACTAAGGAAAAAACAACACTATTTAATGCCTGAACGCAATTTTGAGCCGATTACAAGCAATCTTCAAGACATTGCTAGGTGTTGACCTTAACGTCCAATTATATATATATATAATATTAAGTATATAATTGGTGTATACGGAAATGAATTTGATAACCAACAATTATTATTCTTAAAAGAGTGCTCAATACAAAAAGAAAGGTCAATATAATTATTTTCTGAAATATTTTTTAAAAATATAATCATAAAAAAAATTTTGTTTCAAATTAAAAGTGTCTTATCAAAATGATGTTGAATGCCCACATCATCACTTGATAAGACACCAAGAATGATGGAGAATTTTGAAACGAAATGGCTATTTTTGTATGATTTTATGAATATTTATGTTTTAAATTTAAAAATAAATATATATATATATATATATATATATATATATATATATATATATATATATATATATGATAAAAATATAGTTTTAAGTTATGCTATATTTATGGGTAAAAGCGGTCATTGTCAGGGATTGTGTGTGTGTAAATATAAGGATGGCCTTAGAGATCAAGACCAAGTGGCTACAGTATTTTATATGCTTGAAAGCAATCTTCAGTCTTGAATATATGTACATACATATTTTTCTCTCTCTCCCATTATCTTCTTGTCTCTCTGTCTGTTTAGCTATCTCTAATTTTCTATATATATATATATATATATATATATATATATATATATATATATTGCGTTTCTAGTAATAAAACAATTAAGATTGGTTTATTCCCCTTCACGCAGAAGAACTTTCTCACTGTCAGTTCAAGAAAGACATTTGTGTCACTATCACACAAAAGAGAATGTTTAACATCGAAAAACATAAGGAATATTAATTCATTTTAATAATATGTGGAAATAACCACTCTTTGCTTGAAGAAGGTCGCGACATCCGAAACGCGTGTTGCAAAATTATGGAAAATAAAGCATAATACATATTTAAAAAAAAAATACAATTACAAACAAAAATTGTTTGCGGTTCTCTCTCTTTTTAATATATACATTTTTTTCTCGTTGGAACAATTATAACCTCTTCCCTTTATATACATATATATATATATATATATATATATATATATATATATATATATATATATATAATGAAATGGATGGATTATGCTACAATTATTTTAATATATTTTCTGTTTTTATGTTATTTTAATAGATTCAATTTTTTTACGTAAAGAAATTTAGAAATTTCGTAGAAAATATACGCTCTCCGACAGGAAACGAAGCTGTAATCCTCGTGGATTTGATCAAACGTGCAGCTAAATTAAATAGATTATAACTACAAAAATAACGTATAAACAGAAAATATATTAAATAATTGTCGGACTTAGTCCATTTCATAATATGTTGTCATTGTTTACGTTAACATACGTTTCGTGAGTAGATATGATCGATCGAGAAAATCCTCGTAGATTGTTTGGCTATAAACAGTAATTCGGACTTTGCTAATCAGCAGCTTCTCTGTAAAAGGGTTATATATATATATATATATATATATATATATATATATATATAAGAAATATAGTCTTAAGATGTGCTATATTTATGAGATAAAAATATATATTAATATCAGAGATAGAGCGTGTGTAAATATAAAAGTGAACAAAGAAAAACAACACTTTGTCCGACAGTCTGTTTCATGCTATATGCAATCCGTAGGCCTGAGGATTGCATCTAGCATGAAACAGACTGTTGCCTCTAAAATTGATTTTATGTTTATTTATATATATATATATATATATATATATATATATATATATATATATAACCAAGTTTGATTAAAAAAAACCAACAAGGTCACTGTGATTAATTTATTTTAGTGTATATTTGTTATATTTGTTCAAATACTTTCCAAATGTAAATTCGCAGTCATTATCAAGAACCTATGGGATGTCTGTGTGGTTGTTAGCATCCTGGGGTTTTTGAGAAAATAGACTTTTTGAAATGGTCTAGTGTGACGTCATTTGTAAAAAATCATTGGGTAAATTTATATATATATATATATATATATATATATATATATATGTATATATATATATATATATATATATATATATATATTATATATACATATATGATACATACTATATATATACATATATATTTATATATATATATATATATATATATATATATATATATATATGAGTATGCCTCAACAAACTCTTCATTTTCAACAAATACTGCAGTTTTTTTTCGAGACATCAGAATTACCATAGTCTAGACCAGTGGTTCCCAAACGGTACGATCCGTCTCAGGTTCAGCGCGTCACATAGGTTCAGCGCGCCACATAGGTTCAGCGCGACACCTTGATTCAGCGCACCACATAGGTTCAGCGCGCCACATAGGTTCAGCGCGACACCTAGGTTCAGCGCGCCACATAGGTTCAGCGCGCCACATAGGTTCAGCGCGAACCTAGGTTCAGCGCACCACATAGGTTCAGCGCGCCACATAGGTTCACCGCGCCTCTCTGATGCGGTTAAAATAGGCTAGCATTCGAGTCGGAATGATTGAAAGACAATCAAAGATTTAGAAACAGTTTCATAAATGTCAAAAATAAATATGATTTCAAAATTTCAAATATTATTATGGATTACTTGTAATTGCATGCATGATCCCCAGCATAAATAGTTATAAATAATTATTGACTGATTTTATCACTGATATTTTTGCATTGTATCAAGTATTACGAATATAGTAACTAGGGTTTGTAATGATGTGTGATGACTATAACTACACTCCTGAAGACATAGTGGACTCAGCTGGGGTTCTTTTAATTAGTGGTAAATATACATACGTATGCAAAATATATAAATACCCATACATGTATATTTTTAGAATAAAAATTCCAAGAGGAAGAATCCAGGTAGAACTCAATGTCCAGGACAGAGTAAGGATATAATAAAATATATATATATATATTTTTTTTTTCTGATTTCTTTTTGAATTTGTAGGTCTGATGAATTGATCAGTATTTACGATTCCAATGGAATAAATTTTATGACCATGGAATATTAGTGTTTAAGCCCTTTTGGACATGTATATATATATATATATATATATATATATAGTATGCATATATATATGTATATATATATATATATATATATATATATATATATATATATATATATGTATATATATATATATATATATACAGTATATATATGATATATATGTGAATATATATATATATATATATATATATATATATATATATATATATATATATATATAAATATATATATATATATATATATATAAATGAGAGAGAGAGAGAGAGAGAGAAGGAAACTAATGAACATATATTTGTTTATGTTATAGATGTCTTTGGGGCGTGGGTGCATTTTAATTGAGATTACGGGTGGAAGCTATTGGGATTGGTATAAAAATAGCGGGTGTTATGGTCGTTTGTCTTCTTATGTCTATACTAAAAAGATTGAATTGCATTTTCAAGTTACGGAGTGACGAAACAAGTAGATCAGTTGAGGACTTAAAAAGATAAAGGGCTTGGTGTGTTTGGCCAAAGTAAAGTGAGTGATTCGTCGAGGGCTGGTTGGATCTGCGTATTTTGTTTTGAATGGAGGAAGAAACGAATGGATAGCAAAAACAAGAATAGAGAGGATCAGGTGAATTTGAAAACAAAGAGGGCGGTCTAAAGTTGCTAAAATGGCTTTGAAAAACGAAGATGGACGAAAACGAAAATGGCATATAGAAAAAAAAAGGGGAAGAAAGGAAATGAAGATAGAAAAGATTAGATAAAGAAAAGAGAGGGAGAGAATAAAAGAGAAAGAGAGAGAAGAAGGAAGGAAGGAAGGAAGGAAGGAAGGAAGGAAGGAAGGAAGGAAGGAGGAAGGGGGTAGTAATAGGAGAGAAGACAAAGAAGGACGAAAGAGAAGAACAAAAAGAAAAGAACAAACGAACAGGAGAAAAGGAAAAAAGGACAGATAGGAGAACAGATAAAGAAGGAAGAGTAGAAGTAAAGGAAGGGAGAGGAGAAGAAAAAGAGGAAAGAAAGGGGAAGTAAAGTAGAAGAAGAAATAAAGAAGGGGAGGAATAGAGAGCAGAATGAGGAAAGGAGAAAAAGAAGGTAACGGAAATAGGGAAGAAGGAAGGAAGAAAAGACGAAAGAGAAAAAGACAGAAAAAAGTAGATGTAAGATTTGAAAATAAGAAAGAAAAGAGAGGAATAAAAGATGAATGAAAAGAAAGAAAGAGATGAAAGAAAGAGGAATGGGAGGAAGAAAGGAACAAAGAGAATGGAGGAAAACAATGAAGAAAAGAAGAAAGAAAAGAAAGACGAAAGTTAAGAGAGATTGAAAGAAAGAAAGAGGAGAAGGAAATCAGGAAAGAAGAGAATGGTGAAAAAAGAACAAATGGGTGTCAGAACAAAAGGAAGAAAACATAAAATAAGGAAAGAAGAGATTAATAAAGGAGAAAGACAGAAAGAAAAAGGATAAAGAAGAAAAGGAAAAGAAAATGAAATATAAAATAGAAGATAAAAACGTTAGAAGGGCCATAACAATTCAGGAAAGAAAAAGAAGGAGAAAAGGTGAATAAAATAACGTGCGGAAAAGAAGAAGAAGAAGAAGAAGAAGAAGAAGAAGAAGAAGAAGAAGAAGAAGAAGAATGAAACAAGAAGAAGGGGACGAGGAGGAGAAGAAGAAAGAGTATTAGAAGAAGAGGAAAATATGATGATGATGATGATTAGTAGGAAGAGGAAGAATATGATGATGAGGAGGAGGAGGAGAGAGAAGACAATGAGGAGGAAAGAGAAGAAGAAGAAGAAGAAAGAAGAAGAAGAAGAAGAAACCAAAAAAGACAAGAGATAAAAAAAATCGAGGTAAGAAAAGCAATTGTAGGAACGAAGTCAAAAGAAAGAAAAAGAAAGAAAAAGAACAAACGGATAAAAAGAAAGGAGGAAATGAGAAAAAGGGATTTGAAGTGAAGAAGAAGAAAAAAAAATTTAAGAAAAGAGGAAGAGAGGAAGAAAAAAAAAAGAGAGAGAGAGAGAGAGAGAGAGAGAGAGAGAGAGAGAGAGAGAGAGAGAGAGAAGTAAAGTATTAAAAACCCAGAGAAAAAATAAATGAAAGAAAGGAAGGAAAGAAAGAAATATAGAAGAAAAGAAGTAACGAAGAACACTAGAAAGTAAAGTAGAAAATTAAGCGAAAAAGAATAAAAGGAAAATAAGGAGGAAATCATAAAAAAAGAAAAAGAAAGAAAGAAAGTAGATGTAAATAAACGACAAAAGATGATAGATATCAAATGAAAGAAATAATATTAAGTAAAAGAGAAGAAAAAGCAGGAAACATATCACGGGAGGAGGACAAGGAATTATAGAAATAATGGCGGACAAAAAAGAAAAGAAAAAAAAGGAAAGAAAGGGGAAACAAAAAAAAGAGAAAACGAAGAAAGCAACAGAAAGAAAGAAACAAAAGAAGAAGGAAAAAGAAAAGAAATAATTTTCTCTTTTCGTTTCTTTTCGAAGGAAGAAAACAAATTATGAAAGCAAAAGAAGTAATGGCGAAAAAAGAAAGAAAACAAAGAAAGAAACAAGAAAACATTAACAAAAGAAATGGAATAAACAAAAAAAGAAAGTAAAGATAGAAGAAAGGAAAGAAAGAAAGAAAAAAAAAGAAAAGAAAGAAGTAAGAAAGAAAGAAGAAAAGAAATAAAAAAAGAAACAAAAGAAAAGAAGGAAAAATAACGAAGGAAACATGTAAGCAAAAAATGAAAGAAAGAAGCAACAAAAAAAAAGAAGGAAAAAAGAAAAGAAGGATAAAAAGAAAGAAACAAGAAACAAAAGAAAGAAACGTGATAGAAAAAAAGGCAAAAGGAAAAGAACATATTAGAAACAAATTGGGTACTTCTACGTGGCGTAATGGTTTACACGCTTGTCTCCCTTGATCAATTACAAATTAAATGTGAGATCTCACCCTGTGCTCCATAGTTTAGGCCTTGTGCCACATCTAAGCTACGTTTTAAAAAAATCACCAAATTAGAAGCAAGTTATTAGCAGCCGGAGGAAGAATAAACCAAAAAGAAATCAATGGAAATGGAAAATAAATCCCATATTAGACGTTGTTGGCAGCTGGGATTTTACAAGTATGCGAGTGTCTAATTAGAGAGTAGACAACAACAACAACAACAACAAAAAAGGTAATGCAAATCTCCTGAATATAGAAATATATTTGCTAGGAAATTGAAGCTAGCAAAAATTTTGAAAAACCAGTTTTGATGACCATGGCTTTCGCTATGCCAGATGAATTGTAATCAAACTATCAGCAATCATTCTAATCCTTTTATTCATTCGTCCTCTCGACAACCTTTCTCTTCTTCTCTCACCCCGTTTTCTCATATTACAACCACGCACACACAATTGCCTTCCTGCCAAACCCTTTCCCGGCAATTAGAATTCTCTGCAATATTAAACACTTAAACGGCCAGTCTCTCTGTTGATGTGCAACTCTCTGGGTTTTGTCCGTGTCATTTCTAAATTACTAACGCAAAAGATTCGGCGGAGCTGCTTAAAAAGGATTGATTACTTAAGCGCTTTCGTTGTCTCTTTGCCGCGAACTCTTTGACTAATGGGTGACTGGAAGCCCCAAGGATTGTACCTGATCCGAAGCTTGGACGAGGAGAGGAAGGAAAGAAGAGGTTGGTTTTTGACAAAGGGAGAGAAATGTGATATTTATTCTCAATTTGCTTTGCGAAGACCATGTTAAAATAAAAGAAACATTTACCGACGGGCTTTCCCATCCCAATCGAAAAGACAAGCCTCAAAGAAAACAAGGGCCGGGTAGGAAAAAAAAAAAAAGAAGGATGTTGATGAAAAAAAAGTGTATTAAAAAAAAGGAATAAAGAGAATGACTTTTCGTTTCAAATCTAAAGAAATATTAAAACGGATAAGAGAAAGAATCGTAGACAAAAAAGAAAGAAAGTAAAAGGAACGGAAGGAAGAAGAAGAAGAAGAAGAAGAAGAAGAAGAAGAAGAAGAAGAAAAAAAAGCGAATACAAATTGAAGAATTTAAACAAATTGTGGGCGTAAGAAAGAAAGAGAATGAGTTTTCATTGGAAATGTAAAGAAATAAAGAAAGAAATATTCAAAAGGATAAAAGAAAGAATAGCCGACAAAAAAGAAAGATGGTAAAACAGAAAGAAGGAAGAAGAAGAGAAAAGAAAGAGAAAGAGAAAAGAAAGAGAAAGAGAGAGAGAGAGAGAGAGAGAGAGAGAGAGAGAGAGAGAAAGTTGAAGAATTTAAACAAATTGTAGGCGTAAGTAGTTTAAATATAGAAAGTGAAAAAAAGAGGATAAAAGAAAGAACTATGAAATCGTAACAGGAAGAAAAGAGGGAAAAGTAGAAAGAAAAACAAACAATGCGAAAGAAGAGAGAGAGAGAGAGAGAGAGAGAGAGAGAGAGAGAGAGAGAAAAGCGTAAGCAGAAAAGAAAAAAAATTTGATGAAAGATAGAAGGGAAAAATAAAAAAAGAAAAAAAAGAAAGAATGACATTAAAAAATAAATATAATAAGAAAATAAAGACGAAGAATTAAAAAGAAGAAAACAAAGGAAAAATAAAAAAAAATTAAAGAAAAAGAAAATAAAACAAAAATCAATATTAAAGGAAGACGGAAAAGAAAGAAAAAATGGAAAAGAAAGAAAGAAAGAAAAGAAAAGAAAAAAGAAAAATTTGAAAAATGAAAATGAAAAAAAAAAAGAAAAGAGACTTAAAAAAAAAAAGAAAAGCAATAAAAACGGAAAAAAGAAAAAAGATGAAAAAGAAGAAAAAGAAAAGAAAGAAAGAAAAAGAAAAGAAAGAAAACGGAAAAGAAAGAAAGAAAGAAAAACGGAAAAGAAAGAGAGAAAGAAAGAAAAAGAAAAGAGAAAAGAAAGAAATAAAAGAAAAAGAAAAGAAAGAAAAACGAAAAAGAAAGAAAAAATTTAAGAAAGTAAAGAATTAAAAAGAAATAAATAGAAAGCAAAAAGAAAACGAGAAATTAATTTAAATAAAGAAAGAAGTAAAAAGAAGAAAAAAGAAAGAAAACTGTTATGGAAAGGAGAGGGCAAAAGAAAGAAAAGATAAAGAAAATACTAAACTAAGAATGAAAAAAAAGAAACAAGAAAACAACCGAGAAAGTAAAAGGTTAAGAAAAGGAAGAAAGAAAAAGAAAGAAAGAAAATGGATAAGAAAATGAGACGTGAAAATAAAGAGAAAACGAAAGAAAAGAAACAAAGTGAAAAAGAAGGCGAAACAAAACAAAGAAAACCAGAAAGAACCAAAAAAGAAAAATGGTAAGAAAAGCTTTTTTGTAAACAAAGAAAAAGATAAATAAAGAAAAATGAAGCAAATGAAAAAGGAAGAAGATATAAAGAAAGGAAGAATAGAAAGAAATAAAACGAGAGAGAAAAAAAAAAAAAAAAAGAAATGTTAGGAAAAAAAAAAAAAACGAAAAGAAAATAACTTTCAATGCAAAAAGAAAAAAATAAATTTCACTGAAAAGAAAGAACGAATGAAGAATTGAAGATAAGGAAAAGAGGGGAAGATAAAGAAATTTAGAAGTGAAAAGAAAGAGAGCAAGAGAAAAAGTAAGATGTTAAGATAGGGAGAAGTGAAAGTGAAAAAAATAGAAAGAAAGATGTAACGACAGGAAGGATCGAAAAGACAATTAGAAAAAAAAAATGTAAATTTTCTGAAGTCGTTAAAATTTAATGCTGAACTAAAATTTAACGGACGCCCAACCACATCATGTTTTATTTACGAGTTTGTTGATTAACCGAAGCTTATTTCACTTAGTTTTCAATTTTTTGCAATCATTTTCGTAGCTGACACGTTATGAGGAATCAAGATAAAACGTTGTAGCAACCTCTACAACAGTTGTTTCCATGTACTGTAATGTCTGGAAATATTGTTTTTTTGTTGTGTTAACGGATTCAATCATTTTCTATTGATTTCTTGATACAGATGTGTACGTTTGCTTGACGTAATTTTCAGTTGACATTATGAATATAATAGCGTTTTCTAAATTCTTTCAGTTGCAAAGGACATTTTGTTTTGTTATTAGTAGTTACATTGTTTTAATAAATTCATTTCGTTTTTGCCTTGAAAAAGTCCACTTGGACGAAACGCATCGGCTAATATTACAGTTTTCCTATTGTTTTTACATTTATAAATATTGTCTTTTCTACAGGATTAACTCTGAAAAATTTTCATTTTATATATATATATATATATATATATATATATATATATATATATATATATATATATATATATATATATATATATATATACATATATACACACATATATATTTATTTATATATATATATATATATTATAAATTTTCCAATGAAAAACCACTTTTAAGGTACTATTATAATAATTTATTTCCCCAGAGCCCTTTTAAAAAACGCCGGATCATCAGATATTTCACTCTGTGAAATGAAACGAAAAATAAAATTAAAATTGATGGGTAGTTTAAGTTTTTTGTAATTTAACAGAGAGTGTAAAAGGGATAGTTAAAAGAGACATGGTAGATTTTAGGGAGGGATTAATTTCATAATCTCTAAAATCATACTTAGTATTGGGGGAGGAGGAGTGACCAGACCTTGAATCTATTTATTACTGTTAACTTAACGGAAGTTTTATTATAAATGGGAGGGAAAGAAGGGATCCAAGAAAAGAAAAAAGAAAAAAAAGAAAGAAAAACGGAAGGACGTTAAGAGAGAGAAAGAGGCATTTCTTTGGTTTTTCTTTATTTTTTTATATATATATATATATATATATATATATATATATATATATATATACTAAAGTTTTCTCCAAAATATATGTGAACTAAAATATACGATCCATAGCTAATCAAAAAAGTATTTGTAATATTTATTTATTATTTTTTTAAATAGTGGTGTAATTTCACCAAGTATAGTATTTTTTTGATTTTACTACTGATGAGCGAATTTGGTCCCCACTGGGTGCTCCGTACAAAATGTGTGTCAAATAACTGAACAAGAGTTGAGATGCCAATAAATAAATCAAACTTACCTAACGTATCATAACTATATTCTTCTTTTTGATTAAATGAGAGAACATTATTTTTCCTCCCATTAGCATGGCTTTTGCTAACTTTCCCTCCATGAGACTCACTGCGTCTTTGACAGGTTAATTTTTTCCACCCTTTACGAGTTTGAAAGCTTATATTGAACAATTCCTTTTCTTATGCTAGGAATGTTGGTTCCAATTTTTTTTAAAAAATATTTTTCTCAGAATCTATTTTGCATAATTATTATTTTATCATTCCTCCATGCATTTAATATTGCTTTCACAACTGGTTTTAAGGCGATTTGCTATGTATTTATATCAGTTTTTAAAAAATATATAATCGAATCTGTATCTGTCTATATTTCTTAGATGAAGTATTATGTACACTATTTAAATTGTTCGGACTATCATCCTCGTCTTTGTTTTATTGTATTTATCAAACATTTCGGCCGTTGTTTCGCTCCGGCCTTCTTTAATTGGTTGGAATGTCGAACTGAACCCTTCATTTCGATTACTGGAAAAACTGTTCTAGTTCCATGTGCCATGTCTAATGGATGTCAGTTATCAGTTATCTCCTGTTAATTCCCCTCTCCAAGTTCTTAATCAGGTACTGAACTCAAACTCTTTGGGTCCTGTCATTGGATCTAACTAACGCCTTTATCCACTGTGCCATGTGTTCATAATCGAATCTGAAATATTATCTGTCCTGTCCTGTCATCTGTCATTTTTTTGTTCAGCTGGTTTTGAGGCTTCATTTTTAAACCGCCTTAGCCAATTCTGTGGTTCGGATAATTACTTAGTTTTGAGATTTGCTATAAAATTATTTTTATAGATATATATAGCTTATATTTCGCCTCACTTTTATTTTTACACAGCAACCTTTGGAACACATATAATGTATGTATATACATATATTCATTATCTGTTTCAGAATCTTCAACAGAATAACGGCTTTTTAAATATATAAAACGTTAGGTGAATAAAAATAGTAGAAAGCAAGACAGATTACGAAATAGTCGTACACCAATAAACAAACAAATATCGAAAATGTAGTTTTCTCTCTGCTATCAACACCGCGTCATCTGCTTATCTGATGCTGTTAAGGTTGTGCTCACCAATAATGAATCCTGTCAGAAGGAATCATGTCTCTTAAAATCGACTTGCTGTAGAGGCTGAATAAGTCCGGTTAGAAGACATATCCATGTCTTCCCGCAGAACATTTCTGCGGTAGACAACCACGGCTATAGGGACCAGCCTTGTCCTGGTATTCAACTCATAGCTAGGGGCGGAATGGGATGGATTCATGCCTTTCCAAACGGTATTTGCGCGTAGGTGAATGTAACAAACCCGACTGGAATTCAAACTCCGCATCCCTTATATTACTTTTAAGCAATATTTACATTTTTTTTAAAGTTAAATTTAAAATCCGTCTATGAATCTTCGAATAAACGCGTCATCTCAGAACGCCATTTATATATGTATATCTATACTTCGCGCTGTTATAACTGAGTATCGTTAATTTTTCCTGAACTGTATGTTAGATATGATAAATTTTGGTAAACGTATTAAGAATAATTTAATATATGAAATATTTATGTTTGATAATCATTTTTTGTGATGTCAACGAACACTCGTTGTCACTTTCGTAATGCTCGTTGTAGTAGAGACTTTGTAATCGCAGATACAACTTATAGTAACGCCATTGAACAATACTGGTGT